TACGTTCTCTAATCAAAAGACATAGAGTGGCTGAATGGATAAAAAATAAGATCAAACTATATGCTGCTTACAAAAGACTCACTTCACCTGTAAAGACTCAAGTAGACTGAAAATGAAGGGAGGGAAAATGACATTCCATGCATATAGAAACTAAAAGAGAGCAGGAGAAGCTATACTAAGAAAAAAAGAGAGAAGATTCAAATAAATAAAATTAGAAATGAAAAGGAAATATGTAACTGATACTATATAAATACAGAGGATACTGTTATTAGATAAAAAAGACTTTAAGTCAAAAATTGTGAAGTGAGACAAGGAAGGTTATCATATAATGATAAAATATCCATTCAGCAAGAGGGTATTCAATTGTAAACATATATGCACACAAAATTGGAGCACCTAAATACACAAAGCAAGTATTAATAGAGCTGAAGGGATAAACTGCAATATATTAATAGTGGGGGGATTTAAGACCTACTTTCAGCAATTAACGTATCATCCAAACAGAATGTTAATAAGAAAATATAAAACTTAAACTACACTATAGACCAAATGGGCCTAACAGGCATATATGGAACATGCCATCCAACAGCTGCAGAATACATCCTATTCTCAAGTGTACATGGGACATTCTCTAGCATAGATCATACGTTAGGGTGCAAAACAAATCTTAACAAATTCGAAAAAGTTTAAATCACATCAAGTATCTGTTCTGACTATAATGACATAAAACTAGAAATCAATGAAAGACCTATGGAAAATTGCCAAATATATGGAAATTAAACAACATGCTCCTGAATAACCAATGGGTCAATGAAGAAATTTAAATGGAAGTTAAAAAAGATCTTGAGCTTCATGAAATGGAAATGTAAAATAACAAAACTTATGGGACACATTGAAAGCAGTTTTAAGAGGAAAGTTTATGTAATAAATCAACAAAAAAAAATCTCAAATAAACAACTCGATAATATAGCTGAAGGAACTAGGAAAGCAAGAACAAACTAAGCCCAAAATTAGTGAAAGGAAGGAAACAATAAAGATCAGAGTAGAACTAAATGAAATAGACACTAAAAAACTATAGAACAGCCAGTGAAACTAAAAGTTTGTTTTTTTGAAAAGATTAAGAAAATTGACAAACCTTTAGCTATACTAAGAAAAAAAGAGATACGATTCATATAAATAAAATTAGAAATAAAAAAGGAACTATACAACTGATACCACACAAATATGAAGGATCATAAGACACTATTATGAATAATTACATACCAACAAATGAATACCCTAGAAGAAATGGATCAATTCTTTGACATATACAACCTATCAAGATTGAATTCTGAAGAAACAGAGAATATGAATAGACCAATGATGTATAAGAACATTGAATATGTAATAAAAAGTCCCCCATCAAAGAAAATCCCAGGATCTAATTCACCGCTGAATTCTATCAAAGATTTAAAGAAGAACTAATATCAATTGTTCTCAAAGTATTCCAAAAAATTTAAGAGGAGGGAATACTTCCAAACTCATTTTACAAGGCCAGCATTACCCTGATATTAAAAACAGACAAGGATACAATGATAACAAAATTATAGGACAATACCCCTGATGAACACAAATGGAAAAATCCTAAACATTGTACTAGAAAACCAAATTCAACAGCATATCAAAAGGATCTTCACCACGATCAAGTGAGATTAATCCCAGGAATGCAAGGATGGTTCAATATATGTGGTACATCAACAAATAAATGTGGTACATCACATTAACAGAATAAAATATAAAAACCACTTGATTATTTCAGCAGATAAAGAAAAATCATTTGAAAAATTTAACATTGTCTCATGATAAAAAGTCAACTAATTAGGTATAGAAGGAATGTACCTCAACACGATGAGGTCCATATAAGGCAAATGCATGGCTAGCATCATACTCAATGGGGAAGAATTGAAGGGTTTTCCTCTAAGACCCAGAACAAGACAAGGATCTTCACTCTCACCACTTATAGTCAATATTATACTGGAAGTCCTAGCCAGAGCAATTAGGCAAGAGAAAGAAATAAAAGGCATCCAAATTAGAGAGGAAGAAATTAAATTGTCCCTGTTTGTAGATGATGTGGTCTTATACAAAGAAAACCATAAAGACTTGACACCAAAGCTGTGAAACTACTAGAAGAAAACATAAGGGGAAAGCTCAGTGACACTGGTCTAGGCTATGATTTTTTTGGATAAGACTTCAAAAGCACACACAACAGATGCAAAAACAGACAAATGCGATTACATCAAGCTAAAAAACTTCTACACAAAAAATGAAACAACTGACACAGTGAAGATTCAACTTGCTGAATGGCAGAAAATATTTGCAATCCATACATCTGATAAGTGGTTAATATCCAACATAGATAAGGAATGCAAACAACTCAATAGCAAAAAACCAAACAACTCAATTAAAAATGGGCAAAAGACCTGAATAGACATTTATACATATGAAACAATGTTCAACATCACTAACCATGAGGAAAATGAAATTAAAACCATAATAAGGTATCATTTTACTCTTGTTAAAATAACTATTACCACCAAAAAGACAAAATATAAAAAATACTAGCAAGGATGTGGAGAAAAGGGAACATTTGTACACTGATGGTGGGGAAGTAAATCAGTGCAGTCATTATGGAAAACAGTATGGAGGTTCCTCAAAAAACTAAAAGTAGAACTACCATAAGATCTAGCAATCCTACTATGGATATCTAAAGGAAATAAAATCAGCATATCAAAGAGATATCTGCACTCCCATGTTTATTGTAGCACTATTCACAATGGAATCAACCTCACTGTCCATTAATGGATGAATGCATAAAGAAAATATATATACACACCACGCAATATAATTCAGCCATAAAAGAGAAGGAAAGCAGTCCATTTGCAACACTATGAATGAAACTGGAGGACATTATGTTAAGTGGAGAAAGTCAGGCACAGAAAGATAAATATCACATGATCTCACTTATATATGGAATAGATCTCATAGAAGTACAGAATGATGGTTATCAGAGGCTGGGGCAGTGGGGGGTGGGTGTTGGAGAGTTGTTGGGCAAAGGATACAAAATTACAGTTAGATAGGAGGAAAAATTCAAGAAATCTATTGCACAGCATGGTGACTATAGCTAATGATGTTATACTGTAGCCTTGAAAAATGCTGAGAATGGATATTAAGTAGTCTCACCACAACAATGATAACTATCTGAGGTCAGACATGTATTAATTAACTAGATTTATCCATTCTGCAATGTGTATATACTTCAAAACTTTGTGTACACAATCAATACATCCAATTTTATGTCAATTTAAAAAGTAATAAACTTGAAAAAATATTCAATGTATAAGCCAGAAAAAAGATAATAAACAATTTGCAATTATACCCTTGTATTTGCAAACTCAAAATCAAATGAATCTCCTGGAAAATTGTAGTCTCTCTTAATATTTTCCATAACCTTGAAAATTCATTTTATCTTTAAAAAACAAATGCTTGCTTACCTCCAAAAATGCTTTCACTTTATTGTTGGACTCTGCTGATTCCATACTTTCTTCTCATATCATTATTTTTGGTAAAGTATCATGCACAGTGTTATGCTGGTGAGAAGTGGAAGTCTCTTTTGACTTTCCAATGGCCACATCTACTCACTTCTTTTTTGTCCTCACCCTACATGACTCTGCAACATTTTCCTCTCAAAATATATCTTCTGGAATTTCTAAAACAGTAATCTTTTCTTATTCTTATTCTACCACAACTATTCCTCTCTAGTCTCTTAAATAATTCTTCAAAATTTCATTCTAAGTCAGGGTCCACAAACTCCAACGTTTTTAGGTGAGTCTTCCTCATATAACACAATATTTCCCCTTGGAGAGGTGTGAAAAAATGTATAGACATTTGCTTTTCATAATTTTGGGATTCTTTTATGAGAATGAACACTCAGGCATAGCTCTTGCAAGTAATTTAGTTTGCTATGCAGAGGCTCAAGTCTTGCTCACATGAAATATTCATCCTTGAAGAAGTATACAAAGGAGTATATAAGCCAATCTTCAATTAGTACAGGGAATTCTTTTATGACAGGTGAAGGGATAAGGGAATGAGGCAGGAAGCCTGTGATTGCGGAGCTCTGTAACAGGGAGAGATGAAGTACCTGACCCAGTTCATAATTCATGTTTACGAGGTGATTCAACAAAGGAGTGACAATACTCCTTATTTTAAAAACTCTTTGTAACAATAGTCAATTTAGTAAATACATACCCAAAGATCATAATCAGAGAAGGAAAATGAGGAGATGCAAATTTAAGAATTCTGCATAAACTAGGACTGGAAAGAAGAAAAACTGGCTTAGTTATACACATGTTAAGTGAATACAGAGTTTTTCTTCTTTCTGTAAAATCTTGTCCGGAGTCTCAGGTTCTTGTGCCTTTTCATGAATTGGTGAGGAAGAGCTATCCCATAAAACCTTCCTGGTATCTCCTAAAGAGCTCAGGATTCCTCTCTGTGCACCTCACTCTAAAGTGCTACAATATCAAGGGATAGCACTTTTAAAGACACTGACTGTACATTGGAGACATCATGTTCTCTTTCTAAGGCCTTCCCTTCCAAGAAGAAAGCTGCTCTTTCCTTCTCTTTCTGGCAAACAAGTACAGGGAAAAATACTCCTCAATTTTCCAAAATCAAGCGCAAAACTGATCCCTTAGGTCATGTGATGGAGCCATAGGAGGTAGGGATAAAGAAAAGGAATCACATCAAAGGACCTGCAGCTCAGGTCCAGTCCCATGATTTTAGCATGAAGATTCCAGATCTGGCACAATGTTTAGAATACCAGAGGCACTCCAAGTAACTTAATTGATTTACATCAAGTATACAATTTCCTCCAATACCTAGAAATTAACTGTCTGCAAATGCTCTTAGATATCTATAGGTTCATTACTCATTTATTTACTGCTGCCTTCTGGGGGAGGGGAAGTCTTATGACATCCTTACACTTACTGTTTTCTAACGCGATGCTCATGAGGTAACCAACGGTGCCTGCAAAGTAGTTGAGTAGGAGAAGCTGGATGAAGGCAGAAGTACTTTTAGAAAACAGGAAGCTCATCAGGTACACAAAAGGAATCGCAGACCAGGCATACAGTGTGAAGATCACCATAGTTTCCAGAAAGTGGTAATTCATGACATAAATATCAAATTTGTAATATTTTAACACTCCCTGCAACACAGAGGGTACAGAGATAAAGACAAGGTAAAGGGAAAGTGCAAAAGTCAATCAAGTCAGAACATTTAGAGAAGGAAATAGCAAGTCTTACCTTTATTTAGTACAAATCGTGTTCATTAAGTCAATCTGCCTTTTTTTTTTTTTTAACTTTAGCCTAAGAGCATGAAGTTATTGACACATCTTCACCAGAGGACACTCCAGTTAGCAGAACCACTATGCGTCCCTTTATTTATTTTTTTCTACTTGGATCAGTTACCCCAATAACCCTGTCAAGTTTCAGTAGATTATTCCTCTAAAGAGACACTATTTCTTTTTCTTTTTTTTTTTTTTTTTTGAGGCAGAGTCTCGCTCTGCTGCCTGGGCTAGAGTGCTGTGGCATCAGCCTAGCTCACAGCAACCTCAAACTCCTGGGTTCAAGTGATCCTCCTGCCTCAGCCTCCCAAGTAGCTGAGACTAGAGGAGGCATGTGCCACCATGCCCAGCTAATTTTTCTATTTTTAGTAGAGACAGGGTCTCACTCTTGCTCAGGCTGGTCTCAAACTCCTGAGCTCAAGCGAT